ATTTATATCATTCAAATTCTTAAGTTCGAAAGGTGAAGAATTAAAATATATTAAAAAAAAAATTTAAGTATTTAAATTTAAATTTGGATTCAAAATTAAACAATATATCAAGGTGGATAACTCTCTTTTTACATAAAATACACTCGTTATACCAACTAACTTCAACTAGAACACAGTATAGAAATATAATATAAGGGTGCAAATATAAAAAATTATAGGTAGGGACTATATATCTAATCTACTTATAAAGGTGAAATTTTATATACACGCACGTTATAAATTAAGAGAGTACAGTAATATTGAATTATATGTGTGTATAGATATATAAGAAATGTTATTAATGATGGGTTCTAAGAATATTAAAAGTTTTTGCATATTATATTAATATTCGTAAAATCTATTTTGCATTCTCTTTTAATCAGTGGCAATGTGTTTGCAATTATAGATACATGTAGACATCAATTCTGACCACGTGTTCAATAAGTGAGGGTTGTTTAAGAATTTTAAATGTTATTTATCTATATTTACCTGACTTTGTACAGAGCCTGTTATTACAGTTTTCGATCGCTACAAAAAGCTTTGGTTGGGAAAACAAGGTGTCTTTATATTTATGCGACTACACAATGCAAACAAACCTATTCCAAATGAAATCGTAACGGATGAAACGCATCACACAAGAACTTATTCGACTTTGTCATATATCTTTCCTACAAAACTGTTCTTGATATATAAAAAAATTATATATCACTATCCCATACTGTAGACATGAAAAAATACTAAAATCAAAAGAATACAAAAACATTCGATATCAGCCAATTCATTCAGACACTGAATATATATATATATATATATATATATATATATAAATATATAAATATATAAACACAATCTTCGACGATTTTTCGATCGATCATTTCTGCTTACGAAACAATGACAACGTATGAAATGGATTAAGTCCGACGATTATTTAATATATTTTCTGTTTATACATTATTATTATTATTATTATTATTATTATTATTATATATACAATTTATTTAAGTAAATGCTCTGGTTTTAATTAAACAAAATTAATTGCATTTAACGGTCTGATTATTGTGCGTTTATAAACTGCAATTCGGACGCTAAATAGTATAACTTGTCAGATCAAATGACAGTTTTTATATATATATATATATATATATATATATATATATATATATATATATATATATACATAGATACACAATTCTGTAGCATTTTTACTGAAAATTCATTTAAATTTATATCATAAGTATTCAGTCATCAAAGTATTTTCTCTGATGAAATATTTAGATGTAACCGAAATAGTTAGATGTGACCGGAAATTCTATCCTAATAGGTTTTTCTCGCACTTCTCACCTACGGAACTCTTTTCCGATTGCTGACCTCTCTGTCACTTTCAAAAATTTAAATGCAATGTCAGTTGCAATCTTCCGTCTTCCTGGTTTTGTTCTTTTATTTAAAGTATTCTTATTCTTTTCCACTTCCAGTGATCCCTTACGTCTTAGTAGAATTATCGCCTTGCTTGGGAGGAGGGTGATTCAATATATATATATATATATATATATATATATATATATATATTGGCTAAATTTTATATTGCATCATTACATAACCAATCTCTTTTGGGTTCAGTTCGTTTTGGGAGGAATTGATTTCTGTTTTAAATTTCTTTGACTTCTTTACTTTGACCTATTCACTTTGACCTCTTCACCAAATAATTAAAAAAAAGTATTTGATAATCTGTAATAATTATCTGCAAATTGAGCTACCTAATAATCGCTCCATGACGTATGAGAATATTTAGGTTAGTTTGGCATTAGGCCCTCTGTGAGAAGCCCCAAATGAAGATCTACTGTATATAATTGAATATAGTCGGAATTTTTATGATCAGTTTTACGCAAAAAATAGAGAACAGGTAATATTTTTGAATCATGCATTTTTGGTGACATATACAGAGGTAAAAAAAAAAATTATGTCGGTGTTAAAATTAATGCAAAATATCAGGGGTCACATTATATATGAAATCGTCTTATACACGAATATATACGGTACTTTGCTTCAGTATTAATGATCTACATGTTCCTTTGCCTGTAAACCAATTCTAGACATATTTGAAATATTTGAAAACAGTCTGAAATCATTTCGACATGCTACAATGTTTAACAGTGATGTTTGGCTAGTTCAGTTATGACTTCGAGTAAGTTATGACTTAGCGAGTTCGGTCCTCACTGGGTGCTCCCAGACTCGTGACATTCTGACATTTCTAATCTAAGAATTTTGCAGGTATTTCGATATTGTGTAACGGTCAGCAATTTTGTTCCGCTAAATCAGTTACGATTGACTCGTATATTCGTTCCTCAGTGGATTCTTTCTGGTTTTGGCCGTGTGCCACATTTTTTGCTACCTTTCGTAAATTGCTGAAATATATTCGCTTAATAAACGAAAAGCTGTTTGAAATCAACATTTTTTTTTAATGTATAAAATTCGTACAAAATATATTTTATGATCGCAATTTTCACTTTTGCAATGATTTTAACTGTAAACTTTGTTGGACTTGTTTTTTTTTATTTCATTTTTTTTCAACCGTTCTTTTTAAGTCTTCCTTTTCTGAATTTAAATGACATCTCCTATTTATTTCTTATTTGTTTATTTTTAACTTTCCAAAATATGCTCAAGAAATCACCTTTCATCGCTCAAATTTAAAAGAACATATTTTACTAAATCAAATGAACACTTTTTGTTGGTTTCGAATTTATGATGTAAATTCAAAATTGGGGGAAAAACTTAATAAAATACAACAAACAGTTCCGCTATCGAAAAATCGATCTTTCCTTTGCATTTTGCAGGTCAGATATAGAATAAGTGACGCTTTTCTCAGAAAAAAATAATTTTGAATAATCTTCAATAATTCATGATGATTAATGAAAATATATGCCAAAAAAAAAAAAAAAAAAGAATTCGTTAAGCGTCTTTTTTCTAATTTTATTAACATCATAAATTACACGGCTTTTGTTGCACACACGTTTGTATATCTGAGCAGGTTAACAGTTGACGCCAATAGGGAATGATATATACATCTATTCCATAATACAGGGATGCGCAAAAGTAGGTATACAGTAATAAAAAATAAAACTTGAGAACATTATATTATATTATATTGGTTATACAAATATAATCAATAATAAACATATCAAATGTTCAAACTGTTCCGCTTCGTCATTCACAAACTTCTCTTTCTCTGCAAAATATTTATTACTATTTATTGAAAAATAAAAATTATAATAAATGTATTATAATATAATTTATGAAAATAAAAATATTAAAAATGATTTTTATGAATTAAATGAATTCGAATATTAAATGAATGTTAGAACCCCTATTATAATGCAGGTAATACTAATATAATACTTATTGTTTACCTACTTTTTCACCCCCCCACATACACTGTATAATGTAAGCAAATGTAAATGGATACAGATCCGACAGAATGAAGAAAAATTTGGAAAAAAAAACAAACAAAAATCCTTAAATGCAATTATGTTGTTTAAAATGAATGAAATGTCGACGTCTGACGTTTCGGTTTAATAAACCTTCTTCGGGACATTATTCATTAAAATACAATTCAGTTCAATTTGACAAAGACGATGGACATAAAAAAACAAGTCTTATCCAAAACAGATAACTGAAAATTTTAAAATGATCAGCTTTCCGTTTAGCATGGTCACGTTGTCGTCACATGGGCGACGCCAAAAAAAACGTATTCCTAAAAATTTTTGATTATTTTGAATGAAAAAGAAAATGAAAAGAATTCTATTAGGATCTAAAATTTTTATGTGTATGCTTGTCGAGCATTATAATGTAAAATGCAACTTTATCGTTAACGGATATAAAAAAGCTATATATTAGCAACCTGAAGTAACTATAACAGCCGATTATTTCATTAAATGAGATATTCCGTTATTATGGTAACAGCAGGTATTGCGAAATACCAATAAGCAATTAGGACGGAATATCGCATTTGTAAAATGGCGGTCAATTTGCTAATATGTAGCTTTTTATTTCTTTAAATTTCATTTGATCCTTCTTCCGATATTTTAGTTTAAATGATTTATGCTGTTTGTTTGTTTAACGGCATATCAATCTTCGTGGGTCATTTAATATCGAAATTTAATTGAGAGCTTCGGCAATCTTTTCTTTTTACAAATATCTGCTGCTGATAATTTTTTTTTCATCTATTGCTGGTATTTTTTTGCGGGGTGGGAGGGTTCTTTATTTGCCTATAGCTGAGAACTTAATAGGTGCTACCACCACGGGTCAGGATGTTCCTGGGAACAAAATCAATTAAGAGGTGGTTCAACACTCCTCAAAATCTCCTGATCTTGCTGCAAGATGTAATTTATCGCCATACCCAGCACGGTTTAATGATTTTAAAAAAACAAAAGCTTTTATTACATGCGACAATAAGTGAATTGCGTTGATCAGTGATTAGCAACATGGTCGACGACTCTCTCTCTCTCTCTCTCTTGCAAGGGATCAGTAAAGGTTCAAAGGGTTAGGAGTGATATTCTTCTAGCAGAATACTGAGAGGATTTAACTTATTGAACCCACATTAGGATAAGCCAATTATGATAAATATATTTGGTTGTTTTTTTGTTTTGTTGTGTTTTTGTTTTGTTGTGTTTTTTTTGGGAGGGGTGCCAATATATATATTTATTTATTTACGTTTTCAGACACATTTTAAACATTTATCTGTAATTTCAATGTGTATGGAGCAAAAACCTTCAAGCTAAAATTCCGGTTGCTTCTGTGCTCTAGTAATGTAACAGCTTACTTCCGGTGAGTAGCGATGCTATACTGCATAGAGGAAGCCTGGTCGCCTAGTGAGGTTTCTTATGTATGGCCTTGTGTCAGACCACCAGACTGCCACTATAAGCGTATTTGATATTCCTTTAGAACATCCATGGCTCACGACAAGGTTAGTAACGTAGAGAGTGGAAAAACACGAATGAGGTATGAAAGGCATAACAAAATAGAAGTTTATTTTTAACAACGAATTTGTCAGGATGAAGAAAAGTATAGAATGCAATGCCGAGACCTTGGTCTCTGGATAGTGGTCCAGCAAATCTGTGCAACGTGAGGTTGATGTTGATGATCGAACGTTGTTGCGCGCCAAAAATAGTAATGGTTGGTGCCAAACGTTCTAGGGAGAAGAAATAGCTAAAACGTGGAAAAGATTAATTCTCCTATTTTTCTTTCTTCTTTTTTTCTTTTTTTTTTTTGAATAAACGGTACAGGGGAGGTAACTTTGTCTATAAATGTTTTCTTTTGGTAAAAGAGGAAAAGTCAAAGGTAACTTAAAGACAGAATAAACTCGGTCGGTTTTGAGACTCCGACACGAGTTCGACCAAGAAAACCTTCATCACATAGAAAGAAGTATAGAGCAATGAGAGAGATCCAAAACATATAGATACCACGTGTGAAGACTCGTAGGCTCCTGACTTACTTGTTGCTTTTTGACAGAAAGTAAGGCCCGTTTGATACTGAGGGTTCGTGACGAATGCTTGTTGCTTTTGGACAGGAGGTAAGGTCCGTTTGATACTGAGGGTTCGTGACGAATGCTTGTTGCTTTTGGACAGGAGGTAAGGTCCGTTTGATACTGAGGGTTCGTGACGAATGCTTGTTGCTTTTGGACAGGAGGTTAGGTCCGTTTGATACTGAGGGTTCGTGACGAATGCTTGTTGCTTTTGGACAGGAAGTAAGGCCCGTTTGATACTGAGGGTTCGTTACGAATGCTTGTTGCTTTTGGACTGGAAGTAAGGCCCGTTTGATACTGAGGGTTTGTGACGAATGTTTGTTGCTTTTGGACAGGAAGTAAGGCCCGTTTGATACTGAGGGTTCGTGACGAATGCTTGTTGCTTTTGGACTGGAAGTAAGGCCGTTTGATACTGAGGGTTTGTGACGAATTTGTTGCTTTTGGACAGGAGGTAAGGTCCGTTTGATACTGAGGGTTCGTGAATGCTTGTTGCTTTTGGACAGGAGGTAAGGTCCGTTTGATACTGAGGGTTCGTGACGAATGCTTGTTGCTTTTGGACAGGAGGTAAGGTCCGTTTGATACTGAGGGTTCGTGACGAATGCTTGTTGCTTTTGGACAGGAGGTAAGGTCCGTTTGATACTGAGGGTTCTTGACGAATGCTTGTTGCTTTTGGACAGGAGGTTCGGTCGGAAAGTTGGACTAAGATCGAGTCAAGGATTATGGAAGGTAGCTTCGGCGAAGGAAGTGACTACGAAAAGTCTGTTACTGAAGTCTAGTATTTGAATCGTATGTTGAAGAGGGAGAGACGGGAAACGTATCTTCCCGACTCGATGCCCACTGGTCGTCTTTCACGTGCCTTAACGTTGAAGTGTTGGGTCTTTGCTCACGGGGTAGCAACGACGATGAAGAAATGAGAAAGAGTAATGGTTCGAGGCAACTGTTGACGAAAGGAGTGGGTGTGCCGATAAGTGCATTAAAACGTAAACACTTGATATAAACATTGTTGTATTAGCTCCGCTCCCATTACCAGTACAATATTAACAGTCCATACAAGTCTCTGAAAAGTACCACTGACACAGATACAAATCTTGGATTACTCCGACAAAAAATCTAACCAATGCAACTGAAATGAATATTGACTCGGTTCAAAAGTTATTAACTGTTCGTAAGTGAATTACAGTGCTAATATTTAAATATATATATATACATAGTTATTCAACTATTTGAACTATTTTGGTCCACTATTTTCGTCATCTCAGACTCCATACTTCCAGAATTTGTCATCTCTCTGGGTGGTGGATTGGTCTAAGTGGTTTGTAAAGGTTTCCAGAAAATTATTTTTTTTTTCATTAAGAAAATATTCTAGGGATCAAAATAAGGAATAAATCTATAATCCAAGGTTATATAAGAACGGCGAGTGTAGTAAGATATCCTATGCATGCCGTATCAATTTCTACTGGATTTTCAGAGATTCATGAGGTTTGACGGAAGACGACACCAGGTACTAATTCCTGTTTCTTTTCACCGACTACAGTATTTCGTCGGTCCAAATGAGAATAGTACTTGCCGTAATTAAACGTTTGATTTTGCGGAAGGTGGTTGTAATACACAACACACCTCCAATGTCACCAGACACGCCGAGTCACCTTCGGATACAGACTGATTCTCTGTTTTCTGCATAATTCTTTTTGCTCCATCCCTTTTTTTCATTGCCTGTGATCGTTTAAATAGATTTTTGTTGCATTTGGGTAGAATGTAGCAGATGGAACTACAATGCATTCATTTTTTAAGGCATCCAAACATCCTTGCAATTCAGGTATCCCAGTTTTGGGTTTTTTTTAATGATTTACAACACTCATGTCAGACGTGGAGTATTTCTGCGGTATGCTTTTTCGTTTGACTTATTTAATTATTTTTAATCAGCATTTTGATTTGATTATCATCAACGACTGCAGGCGTGTTAGAAACCTCTCGTTCTTCCAGGACACAATTTTCACTTTTGAACCTAGTAAACCACTTACAAGAAGTTCTCTCAGCTACATCAACGTCTCCATAAACGGTACATATCTTTTTGGCTGATTGTATTAGGTTGGTGCAAAAATAATGTCGTTTTTTGATGTTCAAAAGAGAAAACGATATTATTTTTGCACCAATCTAATATAACGTTTTATTGGAGGTGGGGGGCAGGAATAAAAGAACATCAAATGACAAAAATACGTATCATTTTCCAACATTTTCCATTTTAATGTGACGTGTTGAAATGTAACCTAGTACTGCGCTTAAATACATAGGTTTAGGTATCATAGAAGCAAGTAATAGAGGAATCTTCAATCTGTCTTATCTTAAACTTGTCTAGACACGATTACTGATCCAAACATGCCACAGTATTCCTTACACCAAAACAACACCTTCTTACTACAGTCACCATAATATTTCACAGTCTCTATGACGTCCTAACTAGTTCCCATATGTACAAATTGTCTGTGAGGGGGGGGGTAAAAATAACAACATTTAAAAATGCTATAGAGGAAAGTTCATCAGCATCGGTTCCGACCAACGACCTCTCTGTGGTTGGTCGGAACTCCATCATTAACAATCCCTTTCCACACTGATCGGTCTTGCATTGCTGACCCCAGATCCCCAATGTCCAACCCCGAGTCCCGAGCCGTGGTGTCTAGGAAAGTCAACTTTTATGAGAAGACACCTCGAGGAAGATGCCATAGAAGTAAGGATGAGACGATTTCCCTGTCCACTCGGTGGCAGTGGCCAGCAAACTGCAATCCCTTTTGTTTGAGTTTAATAGAGATTGGTCTCAGTTCTCCGTAAATTGTTAAGCATTGCATGTGATCTCCAACTGGTGTCCTTGATTTTTCTAAGCAGATTTGTATATGTTCCATCCAGTCATCTTTCAAGACAAACAGATAATGTCCAAGTTTCTGATCCATACTGGTAGGACTGGTTCAGTCAGTGTTCGAAAAGTTTGGACTTTTAAGGAGGATTGAAGATTCGAGCGCCAAATCTTGTCAAGTTTGTTACACGCGTCCCAATAAATAATTACAATAACTTATCTCAGAAATATAGACAGATATACTCTATGTATATATGTCATAATTTTGATTCATATGTGACACGAAATCGCGTGTTCGGACGCCACCTATTGAAAGATCTTACGATGTTTTGTTACAATTCAGTCATACTAACTAAAATATCTAGGAGAGAATTTCGAAAATAAAGCATAAAAAATGTTCTGAAATTTGGTTATTTGGCTACGGAATTATTGATCTAGTTTTTCTCTTCAAAACATCCTTTATATATATATATATATATATATATATATATATATAGATAGATAGATAGATAGATAGATAGATAGATAGATAGATATTACCCTAAATGTCAATCCATGTATAATACCGGGCTTTTTTTTAACTGGTGTCGCCAGTTTTGCATAGAAATCGCCAACAAAACATGAAACAATCTTTAGCTAATATTAGTTTTTCTACATTTCTTTTATTATGTTTTATTAATATTTACTAATTGTATATCAACAACAGCCGTAACTGGTTTTCTATAATGGAAATTAAATGAAAACAAGTCTCTTTAATAAGTCAGGACTATCCGAAAGTGATGCGATTAGGCCAAGAACAGCGAGGTCTAGTATAGAGATGCGGCTTTTTTGACGAATTGGCAACAACTGGTAGGATAGTTTATATTTTGTCTCCACGAACACATCATGTAAAACATAACTTGCTCTTTGACATACGCATAACGTATAGCGGAGTTAATAATTACATTTTGCAATTCTATACTTACACGTTCTGTTCATGTTTTGTATTGTAACATCTCTATCTATAAAAGGCAGGATATGTGTGTGTGTCTGTGTGTGTAACAAATAATCGGCCGCAATTTTCGACGGATTTGCACCAAAATTTACATGCACATGCTCCAAGTTAGCGGGAAGGCCAACTCTCCGATAGTGGAAATAATCGATTTTTTCATGCTTTTACGGCAGTTTTCATGTAGTTTGCGTCCATTTTCTACTGGCCAGAGTGAGAGCCTATAGCTGGCTGCCACGAATAGGCAGGAAGATTCTATTGGCCAGTGTGAGAGCCAACAGCTGACTGACACGAATGTTAACTAGCATGCTAGCATGTAAAAAAAATCGATAGCTTCATTCGTCACAAGTGGGAAAAATTTAAATCTGCATGGCACTTTACTCCAATTGGCTCATTCGCTTGCTTAAACTCAACGTTAATTCTGATTCCGCAGAACTGGTTTGGGTGTGAAAACGTATTTGTTGTTAACATTCTTTTTTAATTCGGTTTTTCCAGTTACGAGTCCTTTTTTAAATCTGATCGTTTTTTGTTTATTTTGTTTAGTTCTTTTTTCGTAACAGATTTAATGTTTAGTATAGAGCTTAGAAAAAATTCGCAATGTGAGATAGGCAAGAAATAATGCATGTAGCAACATCAACACAGGGCACTCCTTTAAAGGCAAGGAAGGGCAAAAATATTTTAAGTCAAGTGATAGCGATTGCTGTATGAGTTGTACGATTTTTGAATCAAGCACGGGTAACGCTTGGCCATGTTGCTAGTTATGCATAAAAAGGTTAGGTTTTATCTACCATCAAATACATTAAGTATTTGAAAAATTCCATTACAGTTGTTTGTATTAACCTTCTAGAGTCTATTGTTCCACTAGTGGAACATGTTTTAAGGCATTTTTATACCAGACGAACATTAATTTTGATTATTTTGTCAATAATATACATGGAAAAGACTAAAATAAAATATGTTCTTACATATCATGTTAAAATACAATTAACGATATATTGATGCTTAGGAATTTTCGTTGAAAACATCTGCAAATATATTCGGCCACTAAAAGGTTAATACGGATCATTGGGTTGTTCTAATGTCAGTCAGTTATGTGCCATGCGTGATACACGCTTAGGCGATCATGTATCTTTCGATACATGACTGAGGAGGCAGATTTTTCTCGCAGTAGGTTGTCATTCCTTTCTGCAGTAGACCAGTTGCCATCCAAGGCTATAGAAACCGGTCTGTCCTGCAATTTATCCATAGCTGGAGGGAGAAGAAGCGGATTCATACCTTTCTCAAAGGGTATTAGCACGTAAGTGAATGTAATGGATTCGACTGGAATTCGAACTCGGCTCTCCGATTCCTCAACTCGAGCCGCTATCCATTATTACGTTGTTTTAATCATTTCACCCAAAGCGAGACAATATACCACTAAAACGCAATAGGTTACTGAGTGTTAAAGAATATGTGAAAAAAGAAAAATACTAATATTAATGAGAGAGAATAATAAAAAGAATAAAGAGAGAGACGACAGAAGATGACGATTGATATTAAATTTATTTTTTTATTTTTTTTGAAGATCAAATTTAGCATAGAACTTACGGTTACAACTAACCATTTCAACTGTAAATGATTAGACTTTGCCGCCAGTTTGGTACTGCGCTTAAATTCATAAGTTTACGTGTCATAGAGGAAAGTTCGTCAGAACAATTAACATGAAAGTATTAATAAAAAAAGGTAAAGAGAAGCTGCATTACGGCGCTGAGAAAGTGTCCGAAGCCGAGATGCCAATTCAGGACCAATGACATTGCAGATTCTTCTTTTGATTTTATGAAACATCTCTAAATGTACACAGCAGTAGCACCAGAGTAAATGTAGCAGAAACAGTCAAAGCATCGACAAATGGAACACTTATAGATTTGTAAGATAGATTCTGGGGCTTGGAAAATTTAATCCTCACAGGTCAAATTGAGGGTAAGAGAGATAGGGGAAGGCAGCGAGACAATTATTCGCGTGAATGGATGATGGATCGGGGGCTCTTATCGAGGACTTAGCTAAGAGACACACGACATAGGAAGTTATGGAGAGCCATGATCGCCTATGTCATGACAGGATGCGACACATAGAGGAAGAAGAACCGGAAATCAGGATAGGTAGACAAGCGTAACGGTTATCGGCGTGTAATGTGAAATTGGCGTGCCGAGTTCAAGTTACGGTCGAGTTTTTTTGTTTTTTTGTTTTTTGTCGTTCACTTCCTTGGAAAAGCATGAATCCTTGAGGAATGAGTATGTTCACTTGCCTTAGGTGGCAACCAGTTTAGGAGAAGGAAAACTCTGAATTAAAGCCAACTTGAAAAAGGATGGGTTCCGTCGGACAGTTTTGCCCGCGACACACCGCAGCTGCTATAGTTATAGTACATGTGGTGCTCCTTCAACGCTGAAACGTTATGTCACCCGGTGCTCCTGTAACTACGGGCATGGCTGTGGTTACTTTCACATTCCACAATTTCTTTAGTTTTCTGACAAGATGATTGAGGAGTTGTTATTATTATTATTATTATTATTATTATTATTATTATTATTATTATTATTCTACAGTATGTGCCATCTTTTCTCAATAAATAAGGAGTTTATTTTTTTCAGCTGTTTAATTTGGTATGACACAAGGCCATTATTTGAGGTTAGAAAGTAAGGATCTAGCTCTACAGAAAGAATGGTCTGTGAGTATAGCGTGCTAACCATCGTTTCATACCATGAGAGCTTGTAAGGAATTAGTTATTTTCTACCGTACAACCTCTTTTCCTACAGGCGAAAGTTTGCTGGCCTTTAGCTACTCGCTATTTTCATAGCAGATATTCAGACGAGCTTAAATTCTTTAGAGCCACCAATCCAGAATTTCACAGATATGACCTGCCATACCACCTACACAGGGTCGACTCGTCTTCATTCGCTTTGTATTCCATTGGTAAAGAGGAAGTTTCGCTCAGACAGGTATTTTTCCTCGGAACTATTGATTTGTGGAAGAGACTACAACCTCTTCGTCTTGAGTCAACCTTTATCTATCCTATATATCCTCATAATATGCATTTCTTACTTCCTCCTTTTACGCTCTTACAACCTCATTCATTGACCCTCTACCTTAAGTGACTCTCGTGCCTTGTATCAGGTGAACAGTATAAAGAAAATAACATTGCTTGATGAGTCACGCAAAATTCTCTTTGTTCTTATTTTTCAACAAGAACAATACGACTGTCATGGCCTCTTGCCATATAAACATATTTTTACAAATGTTAATCATTGTACAAGGTGCGGCATAAATATCTCCCACATATACGTCCCAGAAATACCTCCCACTTAATGGTAAAATATTAGCTAGATAAAGACATCATTGCCACTAATGTTTTACCCTTATGTGGGAGATATTTCTACCGTACCTTGTATATTGTTAACCACTGTTTTTCTAGTTCACGTTTTTTTTTTTTAATGCCATGTCCCTTCAGGGTGTAGGCACTCATGTCCCTCCACCGATGTCTGTGAATTGCTATGAATTCTTGAGAGAAATAGTTTTTGCATTTCATATGTCTTGTAAGTGTAAAAATCTTTCAAGCTCTCCTTCTTCATTATGTTTTTTCAGAAATGTCAGCTGTCTCTTTTTGATGCTGTGTCCATTTTATTTCCATCTTCCTTCTGACTTGTTGCTTTCATGTTCCTTTCATCGTATTCTCAACATCCTTCTGTAGACCCACATTTCTTCATCTATGTAGAGATTGACCACTGTTCACTTCAATATGGAATGATTGATATTGAAGAGCAGTTCAGTGATCTTCTCTTTATTTCTAACGACTTGTTTCTTAATATTTTGTTTAGTTTTTGGAAGACATCTTTTGCGCCTTCGCATTTCAGTGTCATATTTTCCATTTCCTGATAAAATATTGCCCAGATATTTAAACTTCTAGACTTGTTTTATTTTGACATGAATTTCTTAGTTCACATCTTAGATATTTTCTCTTATTAATAATAACGTATTCGGTTAGTCCTTTCTTCTCACTTTCCTTTACTATCTTCCGACAGTTTTATTTGAGTTATGTGGATGATATTATTTTTGAAATGTAGTTAAGTTTGTCACAAGGCTACGAGTGAAGTGGGGCTCCAGTGAAGACTGAATTAAATACTCGGTGAATCAGATTAGCTCACTTAAACATTTCCACGACGAGACACCCAAGTAATGCTCATGTTTAGGCGGCAAAATTTGTCAGCGGCTTTTAATGGAATCTGAAAAAAAATCCAAACATTTGCTTCTCATTTTTGTCGACTTTTCTATTTTTTTATTTTTTGTGATTTTTGTTTTTGTTATCATCATTATTATTTTGCTTTAAGTCGTTAAAGCGAAAATCGCCTTAAAATTAACATTATGCAAACATTTTCTCACTTCATGCACAAAAATAATTAAATTAACAGAAAGTCTAAATGCTTTTTACAATTCATATGACATGCCAGTTTTGTAGATTCTGCAAGTATACAGTAAAATATCCCATTTCAAAAACAATGTTTTCCTATATTTAATAGTCGTCGAAATTCTTGGATAAAATTTTATCGTTATTTTTATTCTTTTTTTTTTTTCAATAATCTTTTTTCTGCTACATTTTATCACAGCTCAAAGATCTCTAATCTATGACTCTCAAGTAAACAGGTTGAATGGAATTGGAAATAAAGAATAACCCTCTGATAACATATTGCATCCTATATCCTTACAAATCTGTCTTTTCGGGACAACGCTGTTACTGATTTGGCTACGAAGACTTTACTGGAAGGCGTCGCTAACATAATATTGCAGAATACCTGAAGGGATATTATATGTTTATTAATTCGGGTCAGATTTTTCTCTTTTATCGTAGTGTTGTGGGTGATATATACTACCGTATTGCACACAATGAAATCAGAATTTTGAGGAAGGTCAAAGTGTACAGAGGCCGAACGTTGTTATGAGGGGTCAAAGTAATAAATATTTTTCCTAAGTTAATCACAATTCTGCCGTTTTAAATTGTTTACAAAATTCTTATTGCTTATTAAAGGTTATGTATTTTTTAACCCCAATCAAGACAATAATGCAATTAAGACGCAAGGGCGACTGAGAGAGAAAAAGACTAAGAAAACTTTAGAAATTTAGTAAGAACCGGAAACACAATCCTAAGCAGAATACAAGGGATAAACCTCTACTCCTGTTAAAAAGAAAATGGGTAGTGGTGTGAACTTGATATGCCAGGTGCTAACAAACTGTAAGGGGGGATATTTCTGTTTCATAGACAGATATGAAATGAATGGGAACGAGATAGATAGATAGATAGATAGATAGATAGATAGATAGATAGATAGATAGATAATTTAAATGGAAAATGCTGTTATGTGTTTCGTACTTTATTAAATAGAATACATTGTTTGTATACATTGTTTCCATGATGCAGGGAGATGAGTTTAGAAGCTTAACTATCCTAGCTAATCCGTACCACGACCCATTTAACAAATGACACAACAACCACAAGAACTCATCCTTCATTCAATTTGAACGTACCAAAATACATTTTCAAAGGGGGCCTCATAATACACACATTTTCTCTGAAACCTCGTCGTTGCTCACGTGTTCGGTTCATGGTATCCTCGGAATCCTTCTGTAGAACCACATTTCTGTTGCTTCAAGTCTCTTTTTCATATTTGAGGAGATTTTCCAGCATTCAGTGCCATGTAGGGGGATATCACATAACAGTTCAGTATTCTTTGTTTTTCAACGACTTTTCTCTGTCTCTTAATACTATGCTTAGTTCTTGGAATGAATCTTTGGCTATCCCAAGGAAGAAACAGTTTAAATTTCTGGGACACGTCAATGAGGAAGGAGGGCTTGGAAGAATCTAATACTTACAGGACAGATTGAAAGAAAGTGGGACGGGCAAACAGTGCATAACCTACTTGATGGGTTAGAGTAAATGACTGGCAGAACAGGGTTATGGGGAAATAGCAAAAAGACAACATTTATTAAGAGCAACAAGGGATAGGAAGTTGTGGAGGTCTATGATCGCGTACGCCTTGAAGAGATACGGCACACAAATAAAAAGAATAATACTCCATAATGGTAAAATTTCTGGATATGCATATGTAAAGAGGATGAGAATGGTTTCTATATTATGTCCATTGACAGAATTAAGAAGCTAATTGCAGGAGAGGGTCAAACAATTTGTGGAGCGGGAAAATGCAAAAGGCTGGTCCAATCAGGATAAAAAAACGAGGATAAAAAACCTAGGGATATAACGAACCTTGAAAAGAACCATAACAAAAGTGGAGGCCGAGAACGTCAGTCATTTACAAAGATATTTTTATGGATTTGATATTATGAATAATTTCCTCCTTACGTGTCCCGAAAATTTAATCTACCTCTTTCTGATTGTTTTTTCGCAACAGTTTCTTTCTAGTTTCTATTCTTCTTCAAAATGTCGCGCCATTCATATGTTCGGTCCATATTCTGCTCAGTATTCATCGATTGAACAACAGTTCTTTTTCATTCTCGCGCTTCTCTTAACTTCAAAATGTCCTGCAAGTTTTAAACTCTCTCTGTGTCCCGGGAATTTCAGCTACTTCTTTCTGATAGTTTGCTGGCAGCATTTTCTTTGTAATTTCTACACTACTTAAAACTTCCTTATTAATCATATACTTTGTCCATAGTATTCTAAGCATTCATCGGTAGAACTACATCTCGATAGCTTCAAATCGTTTCTCTATATGTGATGGGAATGTTTAACATTTACTGCCATAAAAGACATGTTACATAGCAGTTCAGTATTCTTTTCTTTGTTTCGAATAACATTTTCCTATCTTCGAGTACAGGGGTCGGCAACCTTTTGGAGACAGCGGGTGAGAAAGCTATGCAGCGTCTCGCAGGAGAGCCATGATATCAAATTTACTATAATAAATTGTCTCAACCTAAAATTGCTCCGTCCGGAAGGCCGTCTTGGTCTGGAGGTTTAAAGAAAAAAACAACGAAGTTAATGCTATATTATTTAAACAAGTTTCTTTATATTACTGCAAGAATAACAAGTAACACAAACAACAAAAAATGCAAATTCTTTACTACAAACGAAATACAGTTACAAACGGCAAATTATTTAATAAGACACTTGTTCTTATTGTTTGATATCTTCTCCGCATCAGGTGAAATATTAGTCGATGATAGGAACAAAACATTATCTAGTTTGCTTATTTTACTGCAAAAATAACAGGGTAACAACCAGGCATTGCCTTACTACGGTTACTTTGGCGGGCTGGGCAAAAATCATTCACGCCAAAATTCATGTAATCTGCTCACAAGGGAATAAAGCTCATCAGAGCAGTAGCGATGAAAATATTTGTAGAAAAGACAGTGGGTAGCCACGTCACATCGGCGAGAAAATGACTGAAGTTAAATTGCCGGGTCATCATCGATTATATTACAGGACCTTCTTTGGATTTTGTCAAGAATCTCGAGATTTACATTAGGAACACCAGATCAGATATAAGTTCTATGCAAACAGTTTTGCTTCTACCATTTCTCTTTTGTGTAACTCTCTTCCTGTTCCATGCTTTCCAATTAACTTTAATCTTTAAAAAGTTTAAATCAGAGGTCGTCAATCTTTTGGAGAGAACGGACCAGACAGTTATGCAGTAAGTCGGCGGAGTGCCATGATATCAAATGAACTATAATTGTCTCAACCTCAGACCGCTTACATCCAGAAGGACGCCTTGGTCTGAAGGTTTAAAGAAAAAAACAACGAATTTAATGTTATATTATTTAAACAAGTTTCATTATTTTGCTGCAGGAATAACGGGGTAACAACTAACACAAACGACAAAAAATGCAAATTCCTTACTACAAACAAAATACAGTTACATACTGCAAATTATTTAATAAGACACTTGTTTCTTCTTATTGTTTGATAACTTCTCCGCATCAGGTGAAATATTAGTCGATGATAGGAACAAAACATTATCTATGTTGCCATCACTCAGCCTTGTTCTTAAACGACTCTTGATATATTTCACTTTCTGGAAAAGTTGTTCACAAGCATATGTACTCCCAAATAATGTTAATATCAGCTTCGCATTATTCAATAGACTTCAATTCCGCTTGTCAAGACATTATTTGTAGAACTGGATTGATGATCTTGAGTAAGTTGATGTTAGAACATGTTTTGGGAGAAAAACAAAACTTATTAAGATCTGTAAGGGACAGGAAGATGTGGAGGTCTATGATAGCCTACGTCCTGATGGGACACGGTACATAAAAGAAAGAAGTTTAGAATAAAGGTTTACCTTGCTTCTTTTTTCATATAGGTTATTTGGCATGTAGTCTGTCTCACCAACATTTTTGAAAGTTGTAGTATATATATATATATTTGTGTATTTAGGCAGGAAATTCTCTTTTAGGCATGTCTGATTGAATAAATTACAAACATTACGTCTGCTTATTTTTATCAAAATTCTTTCATATTCATTTCATATTAATAATACTAATATTAGTATAACTAATAATAACTCATTTACTACCTCTCTATATAAAAAACCAACCAGCAAAAACTTTGCACTATCAACTATAAGAGTGAATGTACTAATTACTACAAAAAAGCATTTATACAGAATTTAATTAACCGAACACAAATTAATTTCTCCACAAAAAAAGAATTTCTATACGAAACTAAAAATATTAAGCAGATCCTCATTAATAATGATTCACAAAGCATATTGTAGATGAACAAATAAGATTTATCAAAAAATCTTAACACACGTTAAATAGAATATGGTACTTCTTCAAAGGACCCTAAATATATCAAACTCTTATATTGTAACCAAATGCATGCTAACTACAAACAGGATGAGAAAAATATAAAAACCTCAATCGTACCAATATATCTCCCATGGATCCCAATACAAAATAAAATTAATCATATATTATACAAAATACAATACAACCAATTTAATTATTCGCAATAACTCCTCCTCACCAGCTGATGTATTACGTAAAACCAACCATATATATCAATTCAAATGTCCCTTGGGAGAATGTATCTCCAACAGAAAAACAAATATATATGTTGGATATACAACAACTACATTATCGTCTTACTGTATACATATCTGACCATTCATCCATTGCGAGACATTTACACTAACATTCCTGTCCACATTCACAGGATATAAAAATACTGATTGATAACACACTATCCTACACCAAGAAAATAACAAAGTAAAACTACAGATCATGATAAAAATAAGCAAACAATGTTTGTAATTTATTCAATCAGACATATATATATATATATATATATATATATATATATATATATATATATATATATGAGATTAAGGATTTATGCAGGTTCATGATTTGAACAACAGTAGTTTTGTTTCGCTAAAAAATGAATCGTCCGTGCCAAAAGTTGGTTAGACAAATGGATCGGATATATCGGATTTAATGTTAAAATATAATTCAATAAAAAAAAAACTAAAAGAAAATCGCTTTTCCATTAGTATTTGATTTTAATATAATCCATTATTCAATGCAAGTGTTCATCCATTTAGGTACTGACCAGATCCAACGTTGCTCAACATCGGTCATTGTACGGAAACCGGTGTTTAAACGGGATGTAGCCGTAATATTGTACAGTTAAATGTTTCATTAAAAATAACACTAATAACTACATGTCAGACAACCGTCTAAAACGTATAAGAACTATATATATATATATATATATATATATATATATATAGAGAGAAGAGAGAGATGTATATAGTATAGATAGTAGAGGAGATATATATATATATATATATATATATATATATATATATATATATATATATATATATGTATGTATGTATATTCACGTTGTTTGTTCTTGATTTTGTCGTCTTCACAGTTGAGCACCGTCTGTGAGAAAAAGAAAACCATGTCACAATTCACTCCGCCAAAAATTTGGAAACGGCATGCTTTACTGATTTTCATTCTCACTGAAAGTTCCAATACGAACATTTTTAAGTATTTGGGTGCCAATCTGAGGACAATGCAGAGGATTCAGTAAGAGTTGGGTGTGTCTAATAGTGATTACAAAGGTACAGCACCTTGGAAAACTCACTCTGATCGTTCTGACAAGAAAAGAACTCTCGAATTTGTTGGTGAGAGCCTCAGACACAACACAGAGGCCTACATCAAGTGCCTTGAGGGGTTAGTGCTGCCCTGGGTCAAGAGGGTGACAGTTGGTAGACACTATGTTCGACAATCGGACTCAAGAGACTGCGTTCTATTGCTTGTCATACAAGCAAGGGAACCCAGTCATGATCGCACTTATATCTGGCCACCTAACTCCCCAGACTGCAATTATGCGTGGGGCGCAGTTGACCGAGAGACCAACAAAACTCGTTGTAACAGCA